AGAAAATTCTTTTTATACAACATTTTCGAGAAAATTCTCTTTTTTATAGAAATTTTTCGAGAAGATTCTCTTTTTTATAGAAAATTTTCGAGAAAATTCTATTTTTTTTATAAAAAATTTTCGAGAAAATTCCCTTTTTTATAAAAAATTTTCGAGAAAATTCCCTTTTTTACAAAAAATTTTCGAGAAAATTCCCTTTTTTATGGAAAATTTTCGAGAAAATTCCCTTTTTTATGGAAAATTTTCGAGAAAGTTCCCTTTTTGATGGAAAATTTTCGAGAAAATTCCCTTTTTTATGGAAAATTTTCGAGAAAATTCTCTTTTTATAGAAAATATACGAGAACTTTTTTCTTGTAGAAAATTTTCCAGAAAATTCTTTTTTTATAGAAAATTTTCCAGAAAATTCTTTTTTTTTATAGAAATTTTTTGAGAAAGTTCTCTTTTTTGATAGAAAATTTTCGATAAGATTCTCTTGTTATAGAAAATTTTCGAGAAAATTCTCTTTTTATAGAAAAATTCGAGAAAATTCTCCTTTTTATAGAAAATTTTCAAGAAAGAAAATTTTAAATTTTTAAAGAACATTTTCAAAATTCGGAAAATTTAACTTTTTACAGAAAATTTTACAAAAATTTCTCTTTTTCTACTTTATCCCCACTGGCTCCTATTTTATCTATTTCTTCTACTCTGCCTTTCTTCATACTCTTCTTCCAAGATAAAGAATATCTCTCTTTCTTCCAATATAAGAAAAGAAGTACCGTACTAGTCCTCGGAAACTGTCGGGAGTTGCAGGATGACTTAATATTATGGAGTGTGCAAGTATGGGTGTTTTATTATTGTTGTTGCATTGTGAAGAACATTTGCACTTTTATACATAATGTGATTTAAGTCGAAAAATTTTCTCATTTTTGTAGGGCGGCAAATAGAATTTACGCTTGAACGTAAGTAACTTTAAGACTCTACCAGATAAAATTCTTTTGTTTACGTGTAAAGTGAACTTTATGCTCAAGCTTTGCAGTTAAAAGTATGCTACTGCAAAGGAAATGTTTCGATCTGTTTTAAACTGGAAAAATTTAATAAAATTTTTAGAAATCAGAATATTATCTTCAGTTTGGCATAATCATCAATTGGAAAGTGTATTTGTATATTTTAGTTCCTTATTACTGAGATTCACAATGAGGTGTGTTTTAAATCCTACATTGCCAGTTATTGTTCATTTTTTTCTCGCCCTTAAGTTAAAGTAAAAATTTACACAAGTATGTCTCTTATAAAATTCTTCAGGTCTTTCTTATTTATTATTTTTTTTTTCAACTTCTGACAAAAAAATAGTTTATCTCAACGTGTTTCTCTCTTCATTGTCAATTTTGTGCATAAAGTGTTTGTGGTACTGGGAGCAATGTATATAGACACTCATGCAACAGCAGCATAAATGCATTTTAATTTAAAAATTTTCTTGTTGAATGCATACGAAAAAAAAAAAAAAAATAACATTTTAAATATGCAAAACTGAATTTCTGTAACAAGATTTTCTTTATGATGACGTGGCTGCAAGTAAAATATAACTTAAAGCCTTTTAAGACATGATTCATTTCTTTAAAGTAGATTTAATTTTATATTTCATTTTTTTTAATATGACTTTAAGTAGTTGAATAGTGTATGATTAACGCTTTAATAAAGATATTTAGTGCAATAATTTATACTGAAAGTTGCAAGCATTCGCAGTAGTTCATACAAGTATGACCCCTGAGGACAATGTCTGAGCAGCATATTATTTAAATTTATGGCATTAGTAATTTTTTTTCACTTTAGCTAAGTTGTAATAAATAGATCAAAAGTAGTTATAAGTGATTTATGTATATGATTATGGTTAGTTATTTAAACATTTTTTCACGGTTGAATTAATAAAGACTTTCTCAAACACTTTATTACAATTAAAGCTTAAACAAAGTCATTCATTGCTTTTTCATTAAGTTATTATGGGAACATTTTTAATATTCAAAATTTGCATTATTCAAATTTAAATTAAATTTCAATGCCTTTACACTCTGCCTTACTGAAAAGCTCAGAACTCAATAAATGTCAATAACCTTTGCCATCATAATATTTATATTCCCAAATTAATCGCTATCAACTTTGCTCTATTACCAAATTTCTCAACAAATGTCCACTAAAAGGAAACAAAGATGATCTTCAGTTAATATAAAATGTATAAAAAAACCCAAACAATCCTACACTCTCACGTAAACCATCCAACACTGTAATGAAAAAAAAAACTCACTAAAAGGTGAAACAACATTTAGCCATCCACTCAATAATCAGCGACATGTGCTTGATATGAAAATAAAGAAAAAACATTTCAGGCAGCCAAATTTATTCAATAACAAACTAAAAACCACAAAAATACTTACACTTTCATGTGATTCAAGACACGAACGATTGTGGCTAAAAGAAATGTACAGCAATGAGAGTTGCATGCAAAGTAACCGCAATTTTTAAATGCAGCGATAGAAAGGAATTAATTCTTTTCTTTTCAGTATCTGAAGACTGAAATTTTCTATAAAAAGAGAATATTCACGAAAATTTCCATGAAAATAGAAATTTCTATAAAAAAGAGAATTTTGTCGAACATGTTTTCTATAAAGAGAGAATTTTCTCGAAAATTTTTTCAAAAAGAGAAATTTCTAGAAAATTTATTATAAAAAGAGAAATTTCTCGAAATTTTTTTAAAAAAGAGATTTTTTTTAAATTCCATAAAAATGGAATTTTCAATAAAATTGGAATTTTCATGAACAATTTCTATAAAAATGAGAATTTTCATAATAATTTTCTATAAAAATGTGAATTTTCATGAACTTTTTCTATAAAGAGATTTTTTTTCGAAAATTTTTTATAAAAAGGGAATTTTATGCAAAATTTTTTATAAAATTTGGAGTTTTCTATAGAAAATAGAATTTTCTTGAAAATTTTCTAAATAATAGAATTTTGTATTAAAATAGAATTTTCTATAAAAATAGAATTTTCTCGAAAATTTTCTATAAAATAGAATTTTTTCGATTTTTTTTTTAAAAGAGGATTTTCTGGAAAATTTTCTATAAAATGAGGATTTCTATAAAAAGTGAATTTTGTCGAAAATTTTTTTCTAAAAATTTTCTACTAAAAGATAATTTTTTCGAAAAATTTCTATAACAATAGAGTTTGCGCAACAATTTTTTACAAGAAGAGAATTTTCCCGAAAATAAGAAGAGAATATTCCCGCAAAATTTTCTATAAGAAGAGAATATTCCCGCAAAATTTTCTATAAAAAATAGAATATTTCCGCAACGTTTTCTTTAAAAAAGGGAATTTTCACGAAAAATTTCTATAAAAAGAGAATTTTCCCGAAAAATTTATATAGAAAAGAGAATTTTCCCGAAAAGTTTCTATAGAAAAGAGAATTTTACCGAAAAGTTTCTATAGAAAAGAGAATTTTCTCGAAAATTTTCTATACAAAAGAGAATTGTCTCCAAAAATTTTCTATAAAAAGAGAATTGTCTCCAAAATTTTTCTATAAAAAGAGAATTTTCTCCAAAAATTTTCTATAAAAAGAGAATTTTCTCCAAAAATTTTCTATAAAAAGAGAATTTTCTCCAAAAATTTTCTATAAAAAGAGAATTTTCTCCAAAAATTTTCTATAAAAAGAGAATTTTCTCCAAAAATTTTCTATAAAAAGAGAATTTTCTCCAAAAATTTTCTATAAAAAGAGAATTTTCTCCAAAAATTTTCTATAAAAAGAGAATTTTCTCCAAAAATTTTCTATAAAAAGAGAATTTTCTCGAAAATTTTCTATATAAAAGAGAATTTTCCCGAAAATTTTCTATAGAAAAGAGAATTTTCCCGAAAATTTTCTATAGAAAAGAGAATTTTCCCGAAAATTTTCTATAGAAAAGAGAATTTTCCCGAAAATTTTCTATAGAAAAGAGAATTTTCCCGAAAATTTTCTATAGAAAAGAGAATTTTCCCGAAAATTTTCTATAGAAAAGAGAATTTTCCCGAAAATTTTCTATAAAATAGAGAATTTTCCCGAAAATTTGCTATAAAAAAGAGAATTTTCCCAAAAATTTTCTATAAAAAGAGAATTTTCCCAAAAATTTTCTATAAAAAGAGAATTTCCCCAAAAATTTTCTATAAAAAGAGAGTTTTCCTGAAAATTTTCTATAAAAAGAGAATTTTCCCGAAAATTTTTTATGAAAATTTTCATAAAATTTACTGAAAATTTTCTATAAAAAAGAGAATTTTCGAAAAAAATTTTTATAAAAAAGAAAATTTTTTAAAATAATAAAATAACAAAAATAGATTTTTTTTCGAAAATTTTCTATAAAAGGAAAATTTTCTTAAACTTTTCCTTTAAAGGAGAATTTTTCGAATATTAAATATAATTTTTTGAAAATGTTCATATTACATCATCAAAATATGCCACAGTTCTCCGATGAGCTGATTCTCTTTCTTGTGAGAATAATTTTCTTTTGTAGAAAATTTTATAAAAGTTTTCGTTGTAGAAATTTTGCGATACAGTTCATAGAATTAATTTATTTACAACCCTGCTTTATAGCAGCGTTAATAATTATTGCCATTACTGTTGATATTTAACTTGGTGGTTAATATTATTGTTATTATAGCAGATGATGACGATCATCATCAGTACAACAACCACTTATAATATCAACAACAACAACAATAACAAAATCAGCAGCAACAATAACATCAACATTTTAGCATTACCCATTCATTATTGAGCAGGCGCCTATGCTAAGAAAAACGGTATACACGACGATGATGGCAAACGACAATCGTAGCAGCAATCAAATAAAAGACGACGATTCAACAATGAATCGGTAAAAAAGAAGAACAAGAGGAGGAATAAAGAAACAAAAAAAAAAAAAAAAAAAAAACAGTTTCAATTTCATTTTTAAACAAATGTTTGCCGCTAAACAGAGTTTAATATACAAAAAACGTTCAAAGCCAACGGTACGGGACTGTTTATTAAAAACACTCGACTATAAAATAGTGTTTAATAAAAAAAATAAATTTAAATAAAATAAAAAAATATAAATAGTGGATTTTGTAATTAAAAAAATATTTATAAATTTATAATTTTTAATAAAAAATAAAAAAATTTAAGAAAAATATTAAAATTTTTGAACAAATTATTGAAAAATTAAATTTGTAAAAAATGTTAAAAATACTGTGCACCGTGTTACTCGTTTTGTCATCCTCTATTCTACTAGTCGCATGTCGCAGTTATAATAACGGTTTAATATTCTATAATTTAGAAAATCATAACACTTACCTACCACCCACTATATCGGTATCGCGCGGACGAGGTCTAGCCAAATTCAAATATTCAGCACGCGGCTCCATTTGGTCTACATTTGGGAAACCCTGTGATTGTGAGGGCCCCTTATGCGGCTGTTGTGTTGGCATCAAAGTAAAACAATATAATTTTGATCAGAAAAGTACGTGATACAAATACAAGTCAGAGTATATCGTCTGCAATTCAACAAAAATCAATTCAGTTGATTTCATTTCATTTAATTTCTTTTTTTTTTCACAAAACACTTTAAATCAAATTAAATATTTAACACAGTAAACGATTTCTGCCAATCTGCAAGAAAACAAAAGAAATGAAATGAAAAAAAGAAAATTCAAAAAACAAAAACTTAAGTATTTAATTGAATATTTTGGTCATGATATAGTTTTGTTATTTTATTAAATCTGTTTCTGAAGAAGTGTATTCGTTTTTGTTTTGTGGCTGCAAATGTGTGTGAATTTGTTTTGTAGATGAATATTTAAATTTTTTTGTTTGCTTCTGTTGTTATTCAATTATTTTGGTGAAATTGTTAAATGCATTAATTACAAAAAATAAATTTATGTATTTTTTTCTTTTTGTTGTACAACTGTTGCATTGTTTTCACTTTCAGCCAAATGTCGACATTTAGTGAAAAAAAATATTTAAAATCATTTTATATTGTGGGAGAAAAGGTGGTGACTATTTCGCAATATTGTAACAATGCAAATTAACTGATTAAATAAGAGGAATTGTTTGGTAAACAGATTTTGGTGAACTAAGTTATGGAAATAAACTGAAACATCATTAAGCTTCTGAATAAAATCGAAATCTAAGTAGCTCTACAAAAATAGCTAAAATAAAGGAAAAGTAATCGGAATTTGCATACTTTTTCTGCAGGAAAAGTAGTCACAATTTTCCTACAGAAAAGTAGTCAGATTCTGACTATCTTTTCCCTTAGAAAGTTGTCAGATACTGACTATCTTTTCCTATAAAAAAGTAGTCAGATTCTGACTGTCTTTTCTCTTAGAAAACTTGTCAGATTCAGACTATCTTCTCCTATAGAAATGTAGTCAGATTCTGACTATCTTTTCCTATAGAAAAATTGTCAGATTCTGACTATATTTCCCTACAGAAAAGTAGTCAGATTCTGACTATCATTTCATGTAGAAAAGTTGTAAGATTCTGACTATCTTTTCCTATAGAAAAGTAAAAAACTTGTTAGTTTCTGACTATCTTTTCCTATAAAAAACTTGTCAGATTCTTACTATCTGTTCTTATAGAAAAGTAGTCAGATTCTGACTGTTTTTTCTCTTAGAAAACTTGTCAGATTCAGACTATCTTCTCCTATAGAAATGTAGTCAGATTCTGACTATCTTTTCCTATAGAAGAGTAGTCAGATTCTGACTATCTTTTTCTATAGAAAACTTGTCAGATTTTGACTATCTTTTCCCATAGAAAAGTAGTCAGATTTTACCTAGCTTTTCCTTTAGAAAACGTGCCAGATTCTGGCTATCTTTTCGAATAGAAAAGTAGTCAGATTCTGACTATCTTTTCCTATAGAAAACTTGTCAGATTCTGACTATCTTTTCCCATAGAAAAGTTGTCAGACTCTGACTATCTTTTCCTATAGAAAACTTGTCAGATTCTGACTACCTTTTCCTATAAAAATCTTGTCAGATTCTGACTATTTTTTCCTGTATAAAATTTGTCAGATTCTGACTAACTTTTCTTATAGAAAAGTAGACAGATTCTGACAATTTTTTTCCAATAGAAAACTTGTCAGATTCTGATTATATTTTTCTATAGAAAACTTGTCATATTCTGACTATCTCTTCCTATAGAAAAGTAGTCAGATTCTGACTATCTTTTCATATAGAAAACTTGTCAGATTCTAACTATCTTTTCCAAAAGAAAAGTAGTCAGATTCTGACTATCTTTTCCTATAGAAGAGTAGTTAAATTCTGACTATCTTTTCCTATAGAAATTTTGTCAGATTCCGACTAACTTTTCCTATTGAAAAGTAGTTAGATTCTGACTATCTTTTCCCATAGAAAAGTTGTCAGATTCTGACTATCTTTTCCCATAGAAAAGTTGTCAGATTCTGACTATCTTTTTCTATAGAAAAGTTGTCAGATTCTATCTTCTTTTATAGAAAAGTAGTCAGATTCTGACTATCTTTTTCGATAGAAAAGCAGTCAAATTCTGACTATCTTTTGCTATAGAAAAGTAGTCAGATTTTGACTATCTTTTCCTACAGAAACGTAGTCAGATTCTGACTATCTTTTCCTACAGAAACGTAGTCAGATTCTGACTATCTTTTCCCACAGAAACGTAGTCAGATTCTGACTATCTTTTCCTACAGAAAAGTAGTCAGATTCTGACTATGTCTTCATACAGAAAAGTGGTCAGATTCTGACTATCTCTTCCTACAGAAAAGTAGACAGATTCTGGCCATCTTTTCCTATGGAAAAGTAGTCAGATTTTGACTATCTTTTCCTATAGAAAAGTAGTCAGATTCTGACTATTTTTTCCTGTAGAAAAGTAGTCATATACTGACTATCTCTTCCTATAGAAAAGTAGTCAGATTCTGACTATCTCTTCCTATAGAAAAGTAGTCAGATTCTGACTATATTTTCCTATAGAAAACTTATCAGATCCTGACTACCTTTCCTATAGAAAAGTAGTCAAATTCTGACTATCTCTTCCTATAGAAAAGTAGTCAGATTCTGACTATATTTTCCTATAGAAAACTTATCAGATTCTGACTATCTTTTCCTATAGAAAGGTAATCAGATTCTGACTATCTTCTCCTACAGAAAACTTGTCAGATTCTGAGTATCTTTTCTTATAGAAAATTTGTCAGATTTTGACTATCTTTTCCTATAGAAAACTTGTCAGATTCTGACTATCTTCTCCTACAGAAAACTTGTCAGATTCTGAATATCTTCTCCTACAGAAAACTTGTCAGATTCTGAGTATCTTTTCCTATAGAAAAGTTGTCAGATTCTGACTATCTTTTCCTATAGAAAAGTTATGATTCTGACTATCTTTTCCTATAGAAAAGTTGTGAGATTCTGACTATATTTTGCTATGGAAAAGTTGTCAGATTCTGACTATCTTTTCCTATAGAAAAGTTGTCAGATTCTGACTATCTTTTCCTATAGAAAAGTTGTCAGATTCTGACTATCTTTTCCTATAGAATAAGTGACTATATTTTCCTATAGAAAAAGTAGTCGGATCTTTAGGAAAAGTGGTCAGAATTTTGATAATTTTGTATAAGATTTTTTTTATCTTTTCTACATATTCACCAATAATGTTGGTATAACAACATGTTTTTATTAAGATAAAATTTTCCAATATAACACCCAATAAATAAGAAAACTTACTTATGTTTATTTTCATTTTAAAATAAGCCCCCTTTTTCTCACTTAAAGCACATTAAATTAACACCTCATTAGCATATAAATAAATTTTCATATCGCTCAATTACTATTATTAACATAAATATATATCAGCTGCAGTAAAAAGAAGTTTATACACGCAACTACAATGTAGTAAAACTCTTTTGTTTGTTGTGAAAAAATGGAAAAAAAATAATCTGCTGAATACTTTTAATATTTGCATTGTCTTATTGTTGCAGAAAATAAAGTATGTTTGTTTTTCAGCTACAAAATACATATTCGCATGTGATATAAAATTTACATGATTAAGAAAATATATATGTAAATAAATATGCAAAATGTATTTAATATATAAACAATATGATAAAGGTTTTCACAATACAATAACAGAGCAATGAATAAATGCAACTGGTAAAAAAAAAGAAAAACAATTTATTTTCAATGGAAAATGTCATACAAACTGATGTCTCCACTTAATTTTAAATAATTTTACTGTATGCAATTTATTTTAATTAAAATAATTTTAAAAATTCATTACAATTAATTGCAGTTTTTCTTTATATTAAAGATAGTATGAGCAACCACCCACATTGCTGCAAATTCTTTTACTTGTATGTGGCAGGCATATTTTCACTTGTATGTACTTATATGTTAATGACATTTACAATTGTCACATTGATCTAATGAATAATGAATTTTGGTTACAAAAGAGATTGTACAAATAGCTACGCCCTTTTCATGTTGTTTGTAATGACAGATATAATAATTATTGTTATGTATTTACTTAAATATTGTTTAATTTTCAATGGTTATTTATCAGATCATACTATAGTTGTAAATCATGTTTAATATTAAGCTAAATACATACAAATGACCTTGACAATGATGTTGTAGATTAAAATGAAATACTGTCTACTATATAACAATTACTGCTGACAATTGCATTTGAAAAGCCAACGCATCATCACATAATATTTCGTGTCGTTACACATGACCAAAGTTAAATTGCTGTTGACCGAAATGGCAATTTAGGAGGAAATTTATTTTATTTAAATACAAATGATGATTTATTTGGTATTCAACAAATTTAAATAGTTTAAATGGTCATGGTAAATTTTTTTAGAATTTGGAAAATTAACAAAAATTTCGATGGGGGAAATGCACAACAATTCATTATATAGTATGTACTTATGTACATAATTATATAATCAACAACACTCAGGGGATATCCAATAAATGCAATGAAACCTGTTGATACCAAGTAAAGAAGTAAGATGGAGTAATGTTTGTGGATGTTCTTGAAAGATTAATATTCCTTATATTCGATCAGTGTCTGTACCAAATAAGATCTACATGAGAGCCTAGTATTAGTTAATTCTACTATAAGATCTTTAAGAATCCATGCGTTAGATGTAGGTTGGATAAAGTAAAAGAGAGGCCATGAAGAAAATTTTATAATCCTCTTTCTAATGAATCAATGGAATGATCCCTTAGTATCCTATTGAAATTATACCAGCTTCAACAACATCCATTCATACGTAGATAAGATAATTAGGAGTTCTTAACTCATTTGTGAGTCAATAAGCAAAATTTAGTTTAAAGAGCATTAACATGCTTTAGTAGGACCCATAAGTTTAGAATCATAAGGTCGTTATAAATATACGATCTTTAAGGATCTTTAAGTCGAAAGATATACATATAAGTTGTATATGTATGTATATCAGAATATAATTATCCTTTCCATAAGAAAAGTTATCAGAATCTGAATATCAGATCGCGATAAGTATGAGATCTTTAAGAATCTTGTAATCGACGTATATTCTATCCATATAGACGTATATTCTATCCATATAGAGATGTGATAATGTGAGTTCTTAAGTCGTTTATGAGTCCATACGTAACATTAAATATTAAAAGCATTAAGAGAGAAATTGACTAAATCCCAATCCCAGAGAGTTACAAATGTGTTAGTTTTGTTTACATCCAGACAATATCCTTGTCTCCTTAAAGTTCAAAAAGATTATATGTAATCTTATAAATAGAGAGAGAGAGAATGACTCAACCCTAATCCCAGAGGGTATCAAATGTATTTGTTTTGTTTAAATCCAGACAATACCAGTGCTCCTTAAAGTTCAAAAAGATTTAATGTAAGAACAAAGAGGGAAGCATCCCTAGCTGAAAACCTCTGTGGTGGAAAACTTTTTCCTAAAGCCTTCTGCAGCTATTTTCCACAAGCCTTTTCAATGTCAGTAAGAGTCTGAGAAAGCACCGAAAGCTATTCAATCCACTAACATTAGCGTGATCCTCGTGAAAGCCACTTGGGGTCAGATAATGAGGCGATTTCTATTCAATTATGGCTCATCCCCGAAGCATGTTGCCTTGATGAACTTTTCCGGTAAAAAGTCTCTAATCTGGTGGTGTCTAATTTCTCTTCGGCCATTTTGATCTGGGGTCGAACCGAAGAGCCATATAACCTATTACCACCGGAACCGGTGGCCCAAGTGGCAGAGTTTCGGACTTCGTCTTGTGTCATATTTGGAGATGTCCCTTCGATGTGCTATGGGCTATGGCTATACCCAAAACGCGAAAGAGAATGCTAATCCAACATTCTCTTTCGCGTTTTGACCGATAAAAGCCGAAATTTATATCTCGGGATAAGTAGGGAGTGACTATGTAGCTGAACGTGGGGAATGATTTGGTGTTAAGTGAATAACATAAAGGATGAATGAAGGGGTGTAGGGTCCTAGTACAATGAAAAAGTCGAATAAATGAGAAGTGTGTTGGATTCCCTTTCCTTGCCTGGGTATGAGAGTAAGACACAAAAAGAGACGGTGCAGAGTTCTTTCTAGTTTACCCTTTGTTTGCAAAAGTACCTCTGTGAAATAGGCCATTTGGAAGATGTTCACGTAAAGCACTCTACATCTATTCAATTAAAACATGATATGATCGATTCTACATTATATAGATTGATTTTGAAGTATTCCTACTAGAAATTTGTGTTCAGGGCTTCATGATATATTCTTAGAAATTTTGTGTATTGCTCTTTTGTTCTAATAGGTTAATTTCTCTTATAAATATGTACTTGCACTCTTCTTGACTGAAAGTCGGGAATTCCTAACATAATATTTTGCAATATTTCTTAGATCTTTTCTAAAACCGTCTAATTATTATTTTCTTTTTCAAATTTCAGTGTGTGCCAATGTCTCGTATGTTCGCCCCAAAGACGAAATCCAAATGGAAGTTTTTCTCAATGATACTGCCACAGCAAAATATGGTATTGCGGCACGTAATCCCTCACCCCTGTGTGTACCCATTATGATGGGTATACCCATGTCAATGTGTGTACAAATGTCTAACATAGCAGTGCAGGGTGATAATCTCAATATGTGCATGGATTTCCTGGTGCGTCTAGCCTCAACACAACTCTTTGAAATGCACTTTCAATGTATGAAAGTTGGTTTACAGGGAGCTAGTTGGGTGGGTCCAGACGGACAACCGGTAATACCGGCAAGTGAAAGTAAAATTAAAGATCGTGGCAGTAATGAATCGGAAGAGTATTATGATGAAAGTGAAGCTGAAGAAGAAAATGAAATAATATCAAAAGAAAAGGAAGAGCAAAAGGAAAGTGTAGCAATGCATATGAAGGAAGAGGATTTAAATAAAGCCGAAGAGGAAATGGATGATAGTGATATAAGAGATAAGATTATGGATATAGTTAAAGAACAGGAAAAAGAAGAGGAGGAAATTAAAGAAAGCTCTGAATTGATGAAGGACAATGAAATAGAAAGTTTAAGTCCGATGCAAGATCATAGCAAAGTTGAGGAAATTGTAACAAATATAATGGAGAGTATAAATGAAGGCAAGGGCTCAGCAGAGTCGGATAAGTATATAACAATGCCAATAGTGGTAGAAAATGTTCAGCCAAGTGAAATTTCTAATATGGAAAGTGCTCAGGAATCCAATGTTTTAAGTGACCCGCTGTCTTTAGAAGCTGAAGAGAGTAATATGGAGAGCATAATGGAAACAAATGCTTTAGTAGAGGAAGATTTTCAAATTAATTCACCGAATAACAATGAAGAGAATAAGAAAGAATCTCATGAGATGACAGATAAACCATTAGAAAAAGAATCAGATTCATTAAAACTGGAGATAAATGATTTAAAAGATTCTACAGTAAATGTTATGGAAATGGAAGAAAGTAATGAAATTATTAAAGACAATGAAAGTTTACAAGATTTGCCTAATACGACTATGAAAGCTGAGTTACATTTGGAGGATTTGTTTGAAAATTCTCAAGAGAAAGACATGCAAATTGAAAACAATGTTGAGCAACCAGAAAAAGACATGAAAGAAACGAACATGCAGTTTGAGCAAAATATTGTTAAAGAAACAAACATGGAAATGCTAGAAGATACTACAGAACCTATGTCCAATGATTATGAAACGGGTAAAATTGAAAAATTTGAAATGTTAATCAATAATGAGGGTGCCGAAGACACAACAGAAATAAGTCAAATTGCTAATGAGCAAAACAACTTTTTGGAAAATCTCCAGCAACCCATGGAAACAAGTACTGAACGTTTGATGGCAGCTAATTTAAAACCAACAATGCCACAGATAGCAGCAACTACAAGTGAAACTGATAGTATCGATAGCATAGATAATACTTTAACAACTGCCACAATTATGACCACAACAACAACAACAACTACTACTACGGCAACAGCAACAAAAAAACCAACTGCAACAGATAAAAACTCAGCTGTGGCAGTAACATTTATAGAAAATACTGATGATGATGAGGATAAAACTAACAACAAAGCTGAAGAAGACGACGATGACGAAGACGACAACGATGGTGATAATAGTCAGGAAAATGACAGTGATTATGATGATGAAGAAGAAAGCGAAGAGTCTGAAGATGAAACAACAGAGAAAGGAATACAAACTAATGATGCCATCACCAGCAACATTGTTATGCCAACTACAGCCGCTTTAAACCATAAAGAATCCTCAATAACACAAAAACTACCAAATGCTTACAGCAGCAATGAATCCAACTCTAATGATGAAACAAATGAAAATACCAAAGATGAATTTGAGGCTGTAGAAGAGCAGGAGGAAGAAATTGCAGATGATGTCGAGACAGAATCTAATGAACAAAGCGAAAACGAAAACGATGCTGAGGAGGAATACGATGATGAATATGAAGATTATGAAACTACAACAGTAGCTGTAAGTGATACCAAAATTAATAGTGCTAATGACACATGTTGCAAATCTGCAACACCAGCTGGCGTCATAAATGACATGCAAGCAGCAGTCACCACAAATGAGCAGCTAAATGACAATACTAATACTGCCGTCAAGCCACAAACTAATACTGTTGCAACAAATAATAATAATTTACAATTTGTAAGCCATGACAATACCATACCTATTAGTAATAGCGACAGTAATATGTTAAATGTTGAATCAACTACAAATAAAATGTCACAAATCACTATTAACCCAGCTGCAGCCACTATTGCAGTGTCTTCAACCACTACCACTAGTAGTAATAGTAATAATGCATTGCCCCTACCGTTGGCTCGTAAATTATATGCACATCATCACCAGCAACAACTACAACAACAACAACAGCAGCATCATCATCATCACTATCAGCAATATCATCGTCATAGTCGTCAGCAACGTCAGCATTATGTTTAAAACCCTCAATGCAGTATATTTATATGTGTGTGTGTTGCATATTCATTGAAAAACATTATTCATTTAGTTTATTGATGTCAACACCCCATTTGACTTTTCATCTGCAACATGCAGTTTTCCAGCAATTGTATATAAAATCTTATATTCTTATGTTGGGGTTTAAAAGAGCAATGATTTTATGTGGATGTATATAATTAGAAACAAAAAGGGAAACTTTAAAACCTAAAGGTGTGCTTCCCAACTTGGACAATTGGCATCACTGCCCTCTTGAGACAATTTATGGTTTATTTTAGCTAAAAAATTAGTTATGCATAATTTCCTCCACTTCTAATTACTTCTCCATTGCTGTATTTTCTTTTACAATTCATTTACTTTCTTCTCTTTATCTAAATTATTAATATTATTTTGTATAAGTTTTATACATTGATAAATGTTTATGTATTTGTGTAATTATTTATATTTATTACTTTGCCAACTAATGGTCTTAATTTATTTGTTAATTTGTTATTTATTGAAATTGATCTTATTGTTTATATTTATTACTCTTATTTGTTATACTTTTATTTATTTAAACAACAATCTAGGTTAAATATTTATGTAAACATATTGTAATTTAAATTTATTTATTATTTAAATTATTTATTAAAATATTGAAAACAATATCTTTTAATTATTTTCAAGAAGTGTATAAGATCAAGGTAAGTAAGTCAATTAAATTTTAATAATATTTTAAAATTTTTAAAAAATAAACTTTAAATTTACTAAGCGATAACGGCGAAAAGTACTATCATTAATCCTAATACTTATCAATATAAAAAGTTTTCAGTTTGTGTTTACTTTTCCTGTAGAAGACGTTCTCAGACTCGCACTACATTTCCTTCAGAAAACATAGCGATTTTGACTAGAAAAATTATTTCAGAAAAACTACTCCGATTCTAGCCACTTCCCCAATGAAAGAGTAATCTGATTCTATTCACTTTCCCTAGAGAAAAACTACACAGTTACTGACTACTTATACACTAATCATAGGTATTTTATAAAAAATAAACTTAGATTCTCATAGAAAAAGTACCTACCGAAAAAGTACTCTGACTATGATTACAATATGACATGAAAAACTATGTCTTATTGTGACCACTTTTCTATAGAAAAAATACTCAGATTCTTACCACTTTTCCAGTAGAAAAGAATTCAGATTCTAACCACTTTTGCTTTACAAAGTGCTCTGATTATGACTACTTTTTCTGAAAAAAGTACTCCTATTATGACGGCTTGATCAAATAAAAGTACCTCAGATTGTGAAAACGTTCCTATAGAAAAAATACTTAGCTTTTGATTATGACTACTTGATCAGGGAAAAAGTACCTCGGATTGTGAGAACTTTCCTATAGAAAAAATACTCAGATTTAGACTATTTATCCTATATTCAGACTGTAACCACTTTTCATATAGAAAAAGTACTCTGATTCTGAATACTTTTCAAAATATAGTCGGATCCTAAGTAACTACTTTTCCTTTAGGAATTTTCAGAGGTTATCATCGATTTTTGTCCATATCTCCGTTATCTATGAGCCGATTTTGCTGATTTGAATTAGCAAACTTTTCAAAATCATATCACATAGAATTATTGAAGACTGAGATATCTGAGGTCTTCAGAAAATTGATTTCAACACACAGACAGACAGACAGACAAACGGACAGACAGGCGGACAGAAAGACAGACAGACAGACATGGCTTGAACGAATCCGCTATCTATCTCGAAGATTAAGGGTATAAAAAAGTATTGAATTCTGGCCACTTGTTCTATAGAAAAAGTACTCCAATTCTCAGTGCTTTTCTTATACAAAAAACAACTAACTCACATTCTGAATTCTTTCTCGTGGAAAAATATTGCAAATTCCAAACACTTTCCCAAAGAAATAGTAATCAGATTCTGATTACTATTCTTACTTTTCTTTCAGATAGAATTATTGAAGACTGAGAAGATCTGAGGTCTTCAGAAAATTGATTTCAACACACAGACAGACGGACAGACAGACAGACTGACAGACAGGCGGACAGAAAGACAGACAGACTGACTGATAGACAGACAGACAGACAGACATGGCTTGAACGAATCCGCTATCTATCTCGAAGATGAAGGGTATAAAAAAGTATTGAATTCTGGCCACTTGTTCTATAGAAAAAGTACTCCAATTCCCAGTGCTTTTCTTATAGAGAAAGTTTTCCGATTATGACAACTTTTTCTATACAATAGCAACTAACTCACATTCTGATTTCTTTCCCATGAAAAAATATTGCAAATTCCAAACACTTTCCTAAAGAAAAAATACTCAGATTCTGATTACTTTTCTTACTACGTTTCGTCTAGAAAAGGTACTGTTACTGCAGCAAAAGTACTTTTCCTATAGAAAATGTACACAGATAACTTCTTTTCCTATAGAAAAAGTACTTAATTCGGACAACTTTTACATCAGAAAAGGCCTCCAATTACATTCACATAGAAGAATTACTCATATTATGACCTTTTTTTAACAAACTAAGAATAAGACAACTTTTCCTATAGAACAAATATTCAGAGTCTGATTACATTTTCTATTAAAGAAACATTATCTAGCAAATTAATTGAATACAAACATAAGTTATATTTATTACAAAAAAGCTACACCTTTAAAAAAAATTATTATCGAAACGTTTTATGTTTACTAATTTCCCATAAGGTGTGTGTTTAGTTAATTGTTACATTTCTAATTAAAATTCAATTAACAATCATGGACAAGAAAAACAAAAAAAAAAAAAAAATAATTTAAAAGTTCTTTGAACCTTTTTAATTTTTCTTTTCCCTCTACAGTTAAAGCATACAAATACAATTTACATAAAAAATTGTTGAAAGTGTATCGTATTGGTCACATCTAATTATTTGCATTTACAATTCAAATTTACCGGCAGGTAATACTTACTACTACAAAAATATTTAGCTTGTGGTTGTAATCATTGTTGTTGACTTTTGTTAATTTGTACATTTAATTGTCTCTTGTACGTTAAACAATTTATTGTTTTGGTTGTTGGAACAAATCAAATTAAGCCCCCCTAAAGATTTAAAATGTTTTTTTTTTTACTATTGTAAAAGACACCTTTTATCGCTGTAGTTTGTGTAAGAAGAGTGTTTTCTTTATTATTCAGTTTAAGTTTTATTTTCTCATTGTTGTGCGTGGGATCACAAAGAGACAAGAATGTTAAAATAAAATGTTTTTAAAAACCATAGTTACAGTTATAATTTGGTAGCAGCACCAGTACAATAACAAGTACTTACTACACTTTAAATGTATTTATACCCTACATCATAATTTTGCGTTTGTGGTGATATTTGTAACACACAAAAATATTGGTCAAACACCCACCATACAGAAACAGGATCTGAGTTTAACACATACGTATTTTTAGGCCCAAGGATGAAGACTTTTGAAAGTGACTGAAATGGGTCCATTATTTCAAATATCCTCCTAACAATCGGGCCTTCCGATTTGGGCTACTTAGCTCAAAACAACTTACACATGTATATCAAATTCCTTAAATACATCAGAATTAAAGTTAAATTGAACAGAAATTATTTTTTAAAAAATATGCTTATTTTTGATATATATTAATTACAGATGTAGGGTATCGTAAGGTTGACCATACCCTACTATATATTTTTACTTGTTTTTTAAATAAATATATGTACATGTTTATGATATGTATACGTATACATATCTCTCCTTAACTATTATTTCGATCAGAGATGGAAAATAGCGTAGCGTTAGCTACAGACAAAATTTCTTTTGGAAATAGTACTTTTTCCGATAAACTTTCGTTTAATTTTCCCACTAGAAATGTTACCCGTACTTAGATTTTAACTACTTTTCCTATAGAAAAAATATTCAGAATCTGACTATTTTTCGTATAAAAAAGTACTTAGACTCTGACTACATTTCCTATAGAAAAAGTACTCAGACTCTTTTCTATAGAAAAAGTACTCAGACTTTTACTATTTTTCCTATAGGAAAAGTTCTCATACTCTGACTATTAGAAAATGTACTCATACTGTGACTATTTTTCCTATAGAAAAAGTACTCAGACTCTGAATACTTTCCTGTAGAAAAAGTGCTCAGACCCTGACTACTTTCGTATAGGAAAAGTACTCAGACTCTGACTACTTTTTCTATAGAAAAAGTTCTCAGACTCTGACTATTTTTCCTATACAAAAAGTTCTCAGACTCTGACTATTTTTCCTATAGAAAAAGTACTCAGACTCTGACAGTTTTTCCTATAGAAAAAGTTCTCTTACTCTGACAACCGACTACCTTCTTATAGAAAAAGTTCTTAGACTCTGACTACTTTCATATAGAAAAGTACTCAGAATCTGACTATTTTTCTTACAGAAAAAATGCTCATACTGTGACTAACTTCCTATAGAAAAAGTACTCAGACCCTGACTACTTTCCTATAGAAAAAGTACTCAGACTCTGACTAATTTTCTATAGAAAAATTACTCAGACTCTTACTACTTTCCTATAGAAAAAGTACTCAGACTCTGACTACTTTCCTATAGAAAAAGTACTCAGACTCTGACTACTTTCCTATAAAAAAAGTTCTCATACTCTGACAACCGACTACCTTCCTATAGAAAAAGTACTCAGACTCTGACTACTTTTATATAGGAAAAGTACTCAGACTCTGACTACTTTTCCTATAGAAAAAGTACTCAGACTCTGACTATTTTTCCTATAGAAAAAGTTCTCATACTCTGACAACCGACTACCTTCCTATAGAAAAAGTACTCAGACTTTGACTACTTTCATATAGGAAAAGTACTCAGACTGTGACTACTTTTCCTATAGAAAAAGTACTCAGACTCTTACTATTTTTCCAATAGAAAAAGTTCTTATACTCTGACTACATTCCTATAGAAAAAGTACTTAAACTCTTACTACCTTCTGAGTACTCTGACTCAGACTCTGACTACTTTCCTATAGAAAAAGTACTCAGACCCTATTGAAAAAGTACTCACACTCTGATTACTTTTCCTATCGAAAAAGTACCTACTCAGACCACTTTCCTATAGAAAAAGTACTCAGACTCTGACTACTTTTCCTATAGAAAAAGTACTCATACTCTGACCACTTTTCCATCAAATTTTCCTTTAGAAAAAGTACTGGGATTTCAGATTGTCCTAAACCGGTACCGAAATTAATAAAATTATACTGTATTTACCATCTCTGTTTGTGTTGTTACCCAGTTTACTTTCAGTTTCATTTCAATTGTTGTTTTTGTTGTTCTTTGCCCCATAGTGTTCAGTTAGTTCATTGTTTACTTTTAATTTCATTCAAGTTACACTTAAAGTGTTGGCAAAAGAGAGTCAGTGAGTACATTTTGTTGTTATTTGTTGTTATGTACTTTTCATATTGTTGTTGCATGTTATTGAGGC